ATAAATAAACTAATAAGGCAATTATTATATTTGCATGTATCTATCAATCAACACATATTTCCTTACATAATTGTTTATCTATCTTCAGAGACCTCTATAAAAATATTATTTTTAATTTTGTAGAAGGGTCCATAGCTCAGTGGTAGAGCATTTGACTGCAGATCAAGAGGTCACTAGTTCGATCCTAGTTGGGCCCTTTATTTTCTCTTCATTTATAAATAAACTAATAAGGAAACTACCATATTTGCATGTATCTATCTAACAAATACATATTTCCTAATATAATTGTCTATTTCATAGACCTCCAATAATTAACCTAAAATAATAAAATACTTAAACTCCAACATCAAAACACGTTTTAGTACTTTCAGTATAGCTCATAACTCATTAGTAATGAAATTATAGACTATATTACATGAAAAATATTATTTTTAGTTTTATACAAGGGTTAATACCTCAGTAGTAGAGCATTTAACTGCAAATTAAAAGGTTGAGCCTTTTACTTTATCATCATTTATAAATAAACTAATAAGGAAACTACCATAATTGTATGTATGTATCTATTAAATACATATTTCCTGACATGATTGCCTATATAGTTTCATAGACCTCCAAAAATTAACCTAAAATAATAAATACCTAAACTCTAACATCAAAACACATTTTAGTCCTTTCAGTATAGTCCCTAACTCATTAGTAATGAAATTATAAATTATATTACATGAAAAATATTATTTTTTGTTTTATAGAAGGATTCATACCTCAGTTCGATCCTAGTTAGACCCTTTATTTTCTCTTTATTTACAAATAAACTAATAAGAAAATTTTTATATTTGCATGTATCTATCAATCAACACATATTTTCTTACATAATTGTCTATCTGTCTTCACATACCTCCATAAAAATATTATTTTTAATTTTGTAGAAGGGTCCATAGCTCAGTGGTAGAGCATTTGACTGCAGATCAAGAGGTCACCAGTTCGATCCTGGTTGGGCCCTTTATTTTCTAATCATTTATAAATAAACTAATAAGGAAACTACCATATTTGCATGTATCTATCTAACAAATACATATTTCCTAACATAATTGTCTATATAGCTTCATAGACCTCCAATAATTTAACTAAAATAATAAATATCTTAACTCCAACATCAAAACACGTTTTTCCTTTCAGTATAGCCCATAACTCATTAGTAATGAAGTTATATACTATATTACATGAAAAATATTATTTTTAGTTTTATACAAGGGTTAATACCTCAGTGGTAGAGCATTTAACTGCAAATTAAAAGGTTGAGCCTTCTACTTTCTCATCATTTATAAATAAACTAATAAGGAAACTACCATAATTGTATGTATCTATCTATCAAATACATATTTCCTGACATAATTGCCTATATAGTTTCATAGACCTCCAAAAATTAACCTAAAATAATAAATACCTAAACTCTAACATCAAAACACATTTTAGTCCTTTCAGTATAGTCTCTAACTCATTAGTAATGAAATTATAAATTATATTACATGAAAAATATTATTTTTTGTTTTATAGAAGGATTCATACCTCAGTTCGATCTTAATTAGACCCTTTATTTTCTCTTTATTTACAAATAAATTAATAAGAAAATTTTTATATTTGCAAGTATCTATCAATCAACACATATTTTCTTATATGATTGTCTATCTGTCTTCACATACCTCCATAAAAATATTATTTTTAATTTTGTAGAAGGGTCCATAGTTCAGTGGTAGAGCATTTGACTGCAGATCAAGAGGTCACCAGTTCGATCCTGGTTGGGCCCTTTATTTTCTAATCATTTATAAATAAACTAATAAGGAAACTACCATATTTGCATGTATCTATCTAACAAATACATTTTTCCTAATATAATTGTCTATATACCTTCATAGACCTCCAATAATTAACCTAAAATAATAAAATACTTAAACTCCAACATCAAAACACGTTTTAGTACTTTCAGTATAGCTCATAACTCATTAGTAATGAAATTATAGACTATATTACATGAAAAATATTATTTTTAGTTTTATACAAGGGTTAATACCTCAGTGGTAGAGCATTTAACTGCAAATTAAAAGGTTGAGCCTTTTACTTTCTCATCATTTATAAATAAACTAATAAGGAAACTACCATAATTGTATCTATCAAATACATATTTCCTGACATGATTGCCTATATAGTTTCATAGACCTCCAAAAATTAACCTAAAATAATAAATACCTAAACTCTAACATCAAAACACATTTTAGTCCTTTCAGTATAGTCCCTAACTCATTAGTAATGAAATTATAAATTATATTACATGAAAAATATTATTTTTTGTTTTATAGAAGGATTCATACCTCAGTTCGATCCTAGTTAGACCCTTTATTTTCTCTTTATTTACAAATAAACTAATAAGAAAATTTTTATATTTGCATGTATCTATCAATCAACACATATTTTCTTACATAATTGTCTATCTGTCTTCACATACCTCCATAAAAATATTATTTTTAATTTTGTAGAAGGGTCTATAGCTCAGTGGTAGAGCATTTGACTGCAGATCAAGAGGTCACCTGTTCGATCCTGGTTGGGCCCTTTATTTTCTAATCATTTATAAATAAACTAATAAGGAAACTACCATATTTGCATGTATCTATCTACTAACAAATACATATTTTCTATCCAATAATTTAACTAAAATAATAAATATCTAAACTTCAACATAAAAACACGTTTTTCCTTTCAGTATAGCCCATAACTCATTAGTAATGAAGTTATATACTATATTACATGAAAAATATTATTTTTAGTTTTATACAAGGGTTAATACCTCAGTGGTAGAGCATTTAACTGCAAATTAAAAGGTTGAGCCTTTTACTTTCTCATCATTTATAAATAAACTAATAAGGAAACTACCATAATTGTATGTATCTATCTATCAAATACATATTTCCTGACATGATTGCCTATATAGTTTCATGGACCTCCAAAAATTAACCTAAAATAATAAATACCTAAACTCTAACATCAAAACACATTTTAGTCCTTTCAGTATAGTCCCTAACTCATTAGTAATGAAATTATAAATTATATTACATGAAAAATATTATTTTTTGTTTTATAGAAGGATTCATACCTCAGTTCGATCCTAATTAGACCCTTTATTTTCTCTTTATTTACAAATAAACTAATAAGAAAATTTTTATATTTGCAAGTATCTATCAATCAACACATATTTTCTTACATGATTGTCTATCTGTCTTCACATACCTCCATAAAAATATTATTTTTAATTTTGTAGAAGGGTCCATAGCTCAGTGGTAGAGCATTTAACTGCAGATCAAGAGGTCATTAGTTCGATCCTTGTTGGGCCCTTTATTTTCTTATCATTTATAAATAAACTAATAAAGAAACTACCACATTTGCATGTATCTATCTAACAAATATATATTTTCTTACATGAATGCCTATATAGCTTCAAAGACCTCCAATAATTAACCTAAAATAATAATACCTAAACTCAAACATCAAAACACATTTTAGTCCTTTCAGTATAGCCCATAACTTATTAGTAATGAAATTATAAACTAAATTACATAAATATTTTATTTTTTTTTCTATACAAGGGTTATACCTCATTGGTAGAACATTTAACTACAAATCAAAAGGTTACTAGTTCGATCTTGGTTGGACCCTTTATTTTCTCTTCATTTATAAATAAACTAATAAGGAAATGATTATATTTGCATATATCTATCAATCAATACATATTTCTTTACATGATTATTTATCTATCTTCACAGACCTCCACAAAAAATATTATTTTAAATTTTTTAGAAAGGTCCACACCTCAGTGGTAGAGCATTTGACTGCAGATCAAAAGTTACCAGTTCGATTCTGGTTGGGCCCTTTATTTTCTCTTCATTTATAAGTAAACTAATAAGGAAACTACTATATTTGCATGTATCTATCTATCGAATACATATTTCCTGACATGACTTCCTATATAGCTTCATAGACCTCCAATAATTAACCTAAAATAATAAAATACTTAAACTCCAACATCAAAACACGTTTTAGTACTTTCAGTATAGCCCATAACTCATTAGTAATGAAATTATAGACTATATTACATGAAAAATATTAGTTTTAGTTTTATAAAAGGGTTCATACCTCAGTGGTAGAGAATTTAACTGCAAAACAAGAGCATTTGACTGCATAGACCTCCATAAAAATATTATTTTTAATTTTGTAAAAATGTCCATAGCTCAATGGTAGAGCATTTGACTGCAGATCAAGAGGTTACAAGCTTGATCCTGGTTGGGCCCTTTATTTTCTCATCATTTATAAATAAACTAATAAAGAAACTATCATATTTGCATGTACCCATAACTCATTAGTAATGAAATTATAGACTATATTACACGAAAAATATTATTTTTAGTTTTATACAAGGGTTCATACCTCAGTGGTAGAGTATTTAACTGCAAAACAATAGGTCACTAGTTCGATCCTGTTTAGACCATTTATTTTCTCTTTATTTATAAATAAACTAATAAGAAAATTATTATATTTGCATTTATCTATCAATCAACACATATTTACTTACATGATTGTCTATCTATCTTCACATACCTCTATAAAAGTATTATTTTTTATTTTATAGAATGATCCATAACTCAGTGGTAGAGCATTTTACTGCAGATCAAGAGGTCACCATTTCGATCCTGGTTGGGTCCTTTATTTTCTCATCATTTATAAATAAATTAATAAGGAAACTACCATATTTGCATATACCTATCTATTAAATGTATATTTTCTGGTATGACTGCCTTATAGCTTCATAGACATCCAATAATTAACCTAAAATAATAAATACCTAAACTCGAACATCAAAATACATTTTAGTCCATTCAATATAGCCCATAACTCATTAGTAATAAAATTATAAACTAAATTACATGAAAAATATTATTTTTAGTTTTATACAAGGGTTCATACCTCAATGGTAGAGCATTTAACTGCAAATCAAAAGGTTACTAGTTCGATTCTGGTTGGATCCTTTATTTTCTCTTCATTTATAAATAAACTAATAAAGAAATTATTATATTTGCATGTATCTATCTATCAATCAACACATATTTTCTTACATGATTATCTATCTATCTTCACATACCTCCATTAATTAACCTAAAACAATAATTTTCTAAACTCCAATTTCAAAATACGTTTTAGTCCCTTTAATATAGCTCATAACACTAGTATGAAAGCATTAGTAATGAAATTATAAATTACATTACATAAAACATATTATTTTTAATTTAATAAAGGGGTTTATAGCTCAGTTGTAGAGTATTTGACCGCAGATCAAGAGGTTACTTGTTGGATCCTCGTTGGATCCTTTATTTTCTCTTCATTTATAAATAAACTAATAAAGAAACTACCATATTTGCATGTATCTATCTATCATATTTTCTGACGTGACTGCCTATCTATCTTTATAGACCTCCAAAAACTAACCTAAAATAACAAATGCCTAAACTCTAGCCTCAAAAGAGGTTTTATTCTCTTTAATATAGCCCATAACTCTAGTCTAAAAGCATTAGTATTGAAATTAAATTACATTAAAAATATTATATTTAATTTTGTAGAAGGGTCTATAGCTCAGTAGTAGAGCATTTGACTGTAGATCAAGAAGTCACCAGTTTGATTCTGGTTGGGCCCTTTATTTTTTCATAATTTATAAATAAACTAATAAAGAAACTACCATATTTGCATGTATCTATTTATCTATGCATATTCCTGACATGATTGTTTATCTATCTTTATAGATCTCCAATAACTAACCTAAAATAATAAATGTCTAAACTTCAACCTCAAAACATATTTTAGTCCCTTCCGTATAGTCCATAATTATAGTATGAAAGCATTAGTAATGTATAAACTAAATTACATAAAAAATATTATTTTTAATTTTATAGAATGGTCCATAGCTCAGTGGTAGAGTATTTTACTGCAGATCATGAGGTCACCAATTCAAACCTGGTTGGGCCATTTATTTTCTCTTCATTCATAAATAAACTAATAAGGAATATTTGCATGTATTTATCTATCAACGCATATTTCCTAATATGACTACTTATCTATCTTTAAAGACCTCCAATAATGAACCTAAAACACTAAATGCCTAAACTTTAGTCTCAAAACACGTTTTAATCCCTTTAGTAGCCCATAACTCTAGTATGAAAGTATTAGTAATGAAATTATAAATTAAATTACATGAAAAATATTATTTTTAGTTTTATAAAAGGGTCCATAGCTATGTGGTTGAGTATTTGACTGCAGGTCAAGAGATCACCTGTTCGATCCTGGTTGGACCATTTATTTTCCTTCATTCATAAATAAACTAACAAGAAAACTACCATATTTGCATGTATCTTTAGAAAAAAAAAAAAATGTTTATATCCCCAACAAAAATATTCAACTCAACCACACTTATCTCTAAGAATTAACCTAAAACACTTAATACCTAAACTCCAGTCTCAAAATACGTTTTAGTTCCTTTAGTATATGCCATAATTCCAGTATGAAAGCATTAGTAATGAAGTTATAAATTAAATTACATTAAAAATATTTTTTTAGTTTTGTAGAAAGGTCCATATCTTAGTGTTATAATATTTGACTGTATATCAAAGATCACCAGTTCGATCCTGGTTAGGCTTTTTAGTTTTTCTTCATTCATAAATAAACTAACAAGAAAACTACCATATTTGCACATATCTTTACAGAGAAACCCCAAGTGAAATTTTCAACTCAACCACACTAAAATAAAAATCAAAACACATATTTTGCTAACATGACCACCTATTTATCCGGTTAAACTTTCAAAAATTAGACAGTTTATTACTGAGTCGTAAACCTATGAATTAACCTTATGATTTTCACGTATATTAGCAATTATATATTTTTTGATATTATTTTTCAAAAGTTAGCTTCTTGTTGCCAAGTGTACAACTTATTAGAGGATGCTAAGATGAGTAGCTAGAATTTTTAAAATGATGAGTTAATTTGATACGTTGTGATAGCACATGATGCATATTCCTATAATGAAAATGCATTTTACAATATGATACAAATTTAAAAGTACAGTAAAACTTTTAGCTAGCATCACATTTATTTATTTCTCTAAGAATTCCCACCATGTTGATGTTTCGAAGACTTTAAATAATTATATATGATCATATCAGGAATCCAAATATATTTTTTTAAAGAAGTTGATTTAGCATTTATAACCATTTTCATGTGAATATTTGACTCTAACCTTATCACAGTGTCAAAATATTTTAATTTTAAATAAATTAGTTAAACAAATAAAAATAGCTCAAACGAGATTGAACTTTGTAACTTTTGGTTTTGATATGCGTGATTAGTTGATCAAGTTATGTATGATCACTTAGTATTACATGTTAGAATTTTGGTATAATTAAATTTGGATGATGTATTGATCATAGTTGTATATGTGATCGAGAAAAAATATGATCCTTTAGAGGAGATATCTTCATATTATATAAAGATATTATCAATTGAAAAGCTAAATTCTTTGTCCATTTACTTTGATGCAAAATATGTACAAGGCTCTTAAAGAGCCTGTGAAATCAACTATTGGATTATATGACATCATTAGTAGCTTAAGAGTTAATGAATCATATGCTTATTATATTTTGTGATATTATAAATGTTGTATATTTGATTAAAACATATATATATATCAAGAAAGAACACAATGATGTGTAGTATCGTTTTATTTAAAAGGTTACTACGACCAATTCTAATAAAATGATTTAAAAAACTATATTGCGAGATTATTAGGTAAAAATAATAATTCATGCTATAATTTAAATAAGATTAAAAAATTAATGGAATTCGAATTTCATTGTTCTTATTCTATACAGAATCTTATACAATATGAGTTGTGATCATCTTCTAATTGATTTTACAGCTATTCTTAATTAAATTAAGAGCCAACTTATAAATAAATTCTCTAAAATTTTGAAATTTATTCCAAAGGTAGGGAATGCCCATATTAAAAACAAAGGTTGAAGTATAATTAGTACTTAACGAAGATCTGCAACTTCCAATATGCCCTTAGAGATAGTTTGTCAGAATGGTTGGTGTTTAGGAGCTTGAATGAGGCTTGATGAAATTTTTTGTACTGAATTTTTATATTCTGATCTAATCTTTATTTTTATGCCTAAGAAATTACATTAAATGAATTACATACATTTTGTAACGGCCCCGAAAATTTAAAATGAAATGTGTATTAAAAATATCAAATGCGGAAGCGAAGTCAAAATTTCGATTAACATCCCTTACACTAAAACCAAAAACGTACTCACAAAATATAAAAGATCAAACTAATTAAAGGAGAAACTCGAAAGTAAAAGCTATGAATATGACTATGGAGTCTTTAGGCGTCCCCTTCGTCGTCCTCCTGCGGAACGGGCTCGGGAACAATGTCTTCCTGATCTGAAATGATTAAATAAGGAATGAGCTACACTAGCCCAGTAAAGACATCACGATATCTCACCGTCACGGAGGTAAAGGTAGGTAGAAAACACAAAAAGACCAATGGAGCATAATTTACAACAAATCCTTTTATCAATAATAAATCCTTTACCATCCACTTACCTCGGTGAAATTCATAAAACAATATACGAAAGCAATAACATTATCATCATCATGAAATCATATAAACTGTATAACATAATACTTATCACGCCTTTTGTAATTCAATCATTACACAATATATTTTCCTCATTTACCAGCCCACTAGTATCTATGGGGATCCATAGGGGTCCCGCTACCCGTTAACCCTTAACACTTGAAATCATATTCCAGGGCCGTCCTCATACCCCGTCCGATATGGGCGCCAAAACTATAAACCTCATTACCCCGTCCGGTATGAGGGTGAAACGGGCCGTCCCCATACCCCGTCCGGTATGGGTGCCAAAATACATAAGGTCTCCATACCCCGTCCGGTATGAGAGACCACAATCCCGGTAGGGTTCCCTACGGACCCGGTCCGTCCACCATCTCCCAAGATATCTAGTCAGGCTGACCACATTATACAATTATCAATTTACATAATCTTTCATTCTCATTTTCCTCAGTCAGCATCATCAATTTACATGCAAACAAGCAAACAGTAATTTATGCCAAACAAGACAACATACAACATCGGTTTCTCAGTCATTCAACCCATAATCAATAAAACAGTAAAATATGCACGCGAAATAATGAAATAAAAATATCAGACCTCATACTGCATTTAAAACTGTAAAATATGTCAAATAACAGTTAACCGACAAACACACTAGACTCGGGCTCCATTAGCGACCTTAAGCAATTTCACACATTCGTTGATTCAAGAAATACCGTTTTATCATTATTGAACTTTAATACCGTGATAGGAAATAGGGTGAGGGGTCCTTACTCGTTTCGGGGTCCGAACACGGCTTTACAGTGCGCTTACAAGCTGTCCCTAATTTTCCCTAAATTTTTCCCGGGGAACTGAAACGCACTATCAGTACCTGCACGTGTTCTTAAAAATCTCAAATTAGGCCCAGGGCCCCTTTTTGGCCAATATCACAATTCCGGCACGGCGGCTCCGCCGTGCTCCGGCGACGGCAGCGGCGGCGATTCGCCTCGAGTTGGCCGTTTTCGGCCGTTTCCGGCCGAATTCAGCCACACTTGCATCGGTCCTTGCGATAAAACAACCCTAGAGCCCTCGGGGGGCCAAAAAATTACGGAAAACCGAAGCTTACCGGCGGCGGTGCTCTCGGGTGCGGCGGCTCTCCGGTGAGGATCGTGTTTTGGTGATTCGGCTCCGATCAACCTGTAGAGAAAAGAATGGTGATCACGATGATATAAAAATTGCATCAAACGGAGGCCGGGAAGGGCCTCATCGGAGGCAAAAACCGAGGAGGGGCACGGCGGCGCCGCTGGGTTTTGGCCGGGATTTTGGCTCCGATTTGGCCACAGGGGAAATCAGCGTGGAAAAAACGAGTCGAGGGTATGAAATTTACCTCGATCGGCGGTCGGAAATCTCCCCGGTGCGACGGCGGGTGGCGGCGGCCGGCTTCTCCGGCGTCTGGTTCGTCTTCTCCGGCGAGGGCAGCGGCTAGGGTTTTTGTGGTCAGTGTGGGGGTTCTATTTATACCATTTTGCCTTTTGATCTCAGCCGTCCATTTTGATTTAATCTGGGCCGTCCATTTTTGATTGAATCTGGACCGTCCGTGCGATTGCATCTGGGCCGTCCGTGCGCACGCTTGATCTGGACTGTCCGATCGCGCGTACGCGGATCGCCAACGTGGCCCGTCCCCGGTCGATGTGGTCTTGCCACGTGGCAGGTCCTGGTTGGCCAGGACTGCTGACTGGGTCTGCTGACGTGGCGCTCTTTTTAAAAAAAAAACTTAATTAAAAATAATTAATAATAAAATAACCAAAATTTCCCAATTTTCCGGGCGTTACACATTTACATATTTTTCATTACATTTCAGTACTAGTTAATTATTTAATTATTCACTCTTACCTCAAATTCAAATTTCTGTTTAACTTTCATCACATTCATCGACCTTCGCTGGCATTTGCTCGTTTTACTAAATGTTGGTATTATACTATGATTTTTGAATTCTTTAATTGATCATAATAATCAATATTAAAACATAACCTCTAACTATATATTTTATGTTTAAGTATTTTGCAATCAAGAAATTAATTTCTCAATAAGTATTTTTCAAATACTTTTTTTTTTTTCGATTTGTGTGGAATATTAAAAAAAAAAAACCCCCATTAAATAAAAGAGTGTGAAAAATATGTAGCAATAAATATTTTCATTCAAACCATGATATTCCCATAAGGAGTGGCGAAGCACTAGCGGTATAATGTCACATGGGTACGTTGACAAAATTCACTTTCCAATCTTTATAATCAAATTAAAGATTATACAAACTTTTATTTTTCAAAATTTTTTTTTTTTTTTTTTTTTTTTGGGATAAAGAAAGATTATATTTCAATTGGCCAAACTACCTAACCAAACCAAACCATAAATGAAAGCCTTAACATTCCAAATAAAAATATCTGATTGAAGCTTGAGGGTCTTGAATTGGGTAGGCAGGCAACTCACGGGTCCTCTAAACCCAACCACATAAACCCTATCTCTAATGTCAACAAAAGACATTACCCTCGTCCCCAATTAAAAAATAATAATTTCAGCATGCTAAAATTGATTAAGAATACTATTAAAACAGATAATTAAATTAATAATTTTTTTACTCCTACTATTGAACTGAATAGATTTTAGCCAGTGTTGTCATTTTATGAACGAAGAATTTTTCTTTTTTCTAATTTTTAAAAGAAAAACTTAAGAGCAAAAAAGTTGGAAATGAGAAAAAGTTAATAACCTAAAAATTCACGTCCATAGTGTCTAGACCCCGCCATTGCGCAGCCTGTCTGTTGCCACCTTTTCTCCTCGTCTTCAAGTACGTTAAAAGCCCCGCAACTTTACTTCGTATTATCATTAAAAGACATCAGACCAAGAAATAACCCATCAAGAACTTCAACAAATTTCAGGCAGAGAAAGCACTGTTCTGCTGTTTCTTGCAAGAAACAGATTCATACGCACGATGGGTCATGAAGAAGATGGAGGAGAGGAGTACTTGTTCAAGATAGTATTGATAGGTGACTCTGCAGTTGGGAAATCGAACCTGCTCTCGAGGTTTTCTCGAAATGAGTTCGACACTAACACGAAGGCGACGATCGGGGTGGAGTTCCAGACGCAGGTGATGGAAATTGATGGCAAAGAGATCAAGGCACAGATCTGGGACACTGCTGGTCAAGAGAGGTTCAGGGCAGTCACTTCTGCTTACTATAGGGGAGCCGTCGGTGCTCTCGTTGTTTATGATATTAGCAGGAAGACTACCTTCGAGAGTGTGAAACGCTGGCTCGATGAGCTCAGTAGTGAGTTTTTCTTCCTTCTCTTTTCCATTTTTTGGGTTTTCCTTTTGTTTGGTTCCGGAGAAAATGCGAGAAGGGGATGGAAGATTCGGACTTAATTTTGATTAAATTTTTTTTTATTAATTGAAAGGAGAACTCAACAATATACGAATTCAAAGGGGTATGTGAGTATCTTCTGTTTTACCTGACAACGAGGTCTGTGTCTTTAAGAAGTAGAAATTG